CATACATACATACATACATTACATACATTCATACATACATACATACATTAATTACATACATACATTAATTACATACATACATTAATTACATACATACATACATTACATTACATTACATTACATTACATTACATTACATACATACATACATACATTACATACATTACATACATTACATACATTACATACATTACATACATTACATACATTACATTACATACATTACATTACAATACATTACATACATTACATTACATACATTACATTACATTACATTACGTTACATTACATTACATTACATTACATTACATACATTACATTACATTACATCATATTACATTACATACATTACATACATACATACATTACTTACATACATACACATAACATAACATACCATACCATACCATACATACATGCATACATTACATACACATACATACAATAACATAACATAACATAACATAACTTAACATAACATTATGTTACATTACGTTGCGTTACATTACGTTACATACATACCTACCTACCTACACATACATATATACAACCCATTTGATACATACATCCATCCATTATCATCCATCCATCCATACATCCAGCCATCCATCCATCCATACATCCAGCCATCCATCCTTCCATTCGTATATATATATATACATATTTCCGTATTTGCATGTCTTACATATATTTATATATAATTATATATTATATATTTCATTATATTTATATATCATCATGTTTGTCACCGTTGCTGCTATATTTGTTCGCATCCTTCTTCCCATCGGGATTGTCAGCATCGTCATGTTTGCAGTTGGTGCTAACATATTCTTGCACCACAGATTTGACGGCAAGGTGATGGTGGCGAAATCACCAGCATTGTCACCATCATTATTTTCGGCATCATCACGGTCCTGATTTGTATCCGTCTCGTCCCGGTACTCATCATCCTGATAGGTATTTTTCTCATCCTCTTCACCCTCATTCCTGTCATCCTCTTCTGCCTAATTCTCGTCGATGCCATAGTTTTCATTATCAGGTAAAAATGAACTTGATAGTCAGAATCTTCGCCAGAATCATGATTACATGCACCATTGTCATCGTGTTTCGTGTTTCTTCCAAATGATGGCCATCGTCAACGCCGCCGTTGCCAGGATTTACTGTATTGACATCATCAATGTCACATAACAATCAGTCATCTCTCATTGGTTACCATTATCAGTGTTTTCCTGAGCTCTCCTCTGTTCATCCATCCTTATCTGCACGATTTCGGGTAATCAAAATTGTTTGTGGATGTTTGTGGCTAGGCCCAAAAATGCCCCACAAGGCATCCGAGCAAAGCGCGCCTGCATGAACTGTCCCATGCAGCTTGCAACCTTTGTTGCGTCCCATCGATGTCTGGGCACGAGCTGGCTCACCTTGACTCGCTTGCTTTGCATATGCAGAACCAGGGGTGCTCATTGGGAATTGCTGGAATTGCGTGGCCCTCGACTGGGTGAGATTGGCTTATTTGGAAAATGACAGATTACTACCGAGAAAATCTATGGACATCCCAGAGTAAACCCTGCTAGGAGTCTTAAAACTGTCAATGCGGCACCACTTTGCAATGCCAAGGGGCTCCAAAGTTCAGCATGTACCAAGCAATTCCAGCGGGAAAGAACAAAACACTCGCTAAGTAACGGAGCGCCGTTGCACTTCCCGCAAGGCATGCGAAGCCGAAGTTGTCCAGATCCAGCATCAGGATGGAGAACCAACCGAAGAAGGAGGAAATGTTCACCGGAAACTCGACCGTCATCGTGCCAATAATGCCGATGCTCTGCAACAAGGAAATGAGCATGCCAAAGGCGCAGGTGGTGGTGAACAGCACAGAAGCTTTTGCTGTTACTTTTGAGGTCATTAGGTAGTACGAAGCTGTCAACAAGACGAAGACGAACAGCATACCCAGTACCTCAGGCCGTGCAAAAAAGCTGCTCAATCCACTGGATTTTCAAAATGCTGGCAAATTTTGGGTGGCCCAAAGACACTGAGACCCAGGCCCAAAGCACTACCATGGAGTCTTCGCATTGTTCGCACTTTCCCTCACTCAAGTTGTAACCTTTCACCAGTTTTGAAAGTGCAAACAAATCCAACCCAAAAGAATCATTATCTTAAGCATTATCGTTATATGATTATCTTTACCATTATCATTATTTTGGATTCATTCTCAACTAATCCATTGCGAATCAAACAATGAAAGCAGGTTGTCGGGTTTTGACGTCGACCGTCAACCTAAGAATGCCCTAAGATGGCCACAGTGTGAAATCAAACAAGCCTAGCAAACTAGATACTTGCAGCCATCATTGAGGTGCATTGGGTGCATTGGGCACTCTGAGAGCACTCGAGCTGCTACCTCCACATTCCATCCACGTGTTGTGTATATATGTGTATATCATGATACCAAAGCTATTCAAAGATCAGATCCAGGATGTCTGTGGTCTGCTGGCCCGGCCCATGATCAGCTCCGCACCTTCTCGGCATTCACCACACGGCACCCCGATCAAGCCACCGCCGCATTGCGCAGGCAATCCGCCAGGACAGGAAGTGATGAGTCCGCAGCGATAGACCTGGTGCACCCGTTGTTCAGCCCTTGGGCGGGGATGACACAGCTGACACCCAGCACAAGGGAAAACGCGCCTCACCGCTTGGACTCGGGTTTATACAAAGTGGTTCATTGACGAAGGCGTTGGAGATATTATATGGGTTGTCTGGAAACCTAATTATAACCCATCATCAATCTGCTTCTGATTGTTGTCCCGACAACCGGTCCCACTCTCTGTCCCATCCTAATCTTAGCATTCGATTAATAAACCCCCCTCAATCCCTCAATAATAAAAAAATCCGGCCGACCCATATTTTACTTTTAGTATTCAGTCATGTTGTTGGCCATGAAAAAACACCCACAATAATATACTAATATAGTTTGTTTTTTCCGTTTTTTAGGTATTGGTTTTCATTTGCGCCCCTTTACTTTTAGTATCTGGCATTCCCCTTTCCCACCAAAATCTCCATTAACAAAAAACATCCAACTAAAACCTCAATTTACAATGATGTTTCCACTAAAACCTCCATTTACAAATGATTTTCTCGGTAAAACCTCGATTTACATTTTTTCCCACTAGAACCTTAATTTGAAATAAATTTGAACCCAGTTTGAAGGCCTAAAAAACACCACTTGGAAAGCATCCATCCATCGAAGCAACATTGTAAAATTGTTCAATCTGTTTCAAACCGGTTTCAAACACCCGTTTGGAGGCCTTGTCAACCATTTGATCTGGGAACTCAAAGCTCCCAAACGGCGCTTTGGATGGATTGCTCTCCATATGCTGCTTTCTAGGGTTTCAATCTGGTTTCAAACTGGTTTCAGCCTCGTTTCAGATTGGTTTCAAATTGAGGCCACTTTTTGGAACCCAAAAGAAAAAGAAAAAACATACTGGAAAATCACTGGAAAACCAATCTCGACGACATCCATTTGGAGGAACTGACATGAAATGACGGGAACCTGTTTGAAACTGAAATCCTGAAAACAATTCTACTTGCGGGAACCTTTTTTATGCGGCGGGGGAAAGGTGTGCCTCCCTTTGTTCATCCGATGCTAAGATTACTACCTCAAATTTTTCATTCAAGACTGAGCAACCTTGCCTACATACCTCGCACATCCTCGCACTGTATAACACCCCCGTCTGGTGCCGGGGGGGTGAGACCCCTAAAAAAATAAAATAAAATGCAGGGGCCTAAGGACAAAATACCAATCAGCGAGGTATCAAGGTTTTGCGAGGATTCGCTTTACTAATTTTACTTCGACCAACGACCATCAACGACCAATACCCGACCTCCAAGGGTTCATCTTCTGTAACAAAGTAGCCTTCAGCAACTGCAGGCAAGTAGTCAAGGCCCAACGGATGGTTTCCATCCTGCAAACCTGAGCAAAAAAAATCCGCGTGATCGCAATGGCACCTGTAGATGCGAACAAATCCATGCCTATTTTTGCGTTCAAATTTGCAAACACATGCAAACATGGTCTGAAATGCAAGCGCAAGTGACTCTTCAAGCTGCTCATCACAGGGCAGGTCAAGCCCTCTTGGCATTTCGCGCAGCTCAAATTGCCTGCGGTGAACGTGCGCTTGGTCAAATGGAGAGCAGCGCGGGTTTCAGAGATTGGAAATAATAATTCACTTTATCCCGATTTATCCCGGATAAATTTCTTTGCGTAGACAAGGTTCCAAACCTGTTCAAAAGTTCACAGCCCGCGCCACCATCAGCCCATGAATGGCCGTCAGCATCCCCTCTCGAGGCATAAGGGACGGCACGTCTTAAATCTTTGAAAATTACACCGGCATAGGCCCTGAGAGCAAAACATTTTTTTGGGCGGCCAAACGCTCTATTCGGCGTAGACGCAATCATCGCAATCTCCATCATCGTCGGGGGTTACGCGGTAGTATGCCTGCCATAGACATCTTCCAGCGGCACCCTGCAGCGGCACCTGGAGCAGCACCAGCGGCTCCAAAGCGTACACTGCCACAACGGGCAGGCACCCGGCAGTCACATTGCACCCTGCAGCGGCACCAGCACTCTAAGGTTCCAAAGCACGCACTCTACCGCAGACGGCCTCCTGCAGAGGCGCCCTGCAGCAGTACCCTGCAGTCAAATTGCACCCTGCAGTGGCGCCAGCACTCAGGTTCCGAAGAGCGCGCTACGACAGACATCGTGCATTGGTCTGCTGCAGCAGCACTCTGTGCCCCCCCCAAGGCTCCAAAGCGTGCGCTGCACCCTGCAGCTGCACCAAAGCGCAAATTGCACCGCAGCACCAGCACCCAGGCTCCAAAGCGCACTGCAATAGACATCTTGGAGTGGCATCCGCGGCGGAACCAGTACCCAGGCTCCAAAGTGCTAATATAGGCAACTCTTCTTATTGTACTTGAAGTAATGCTCTCACTATTCCAATTGATGCTACAGCTTGCTAAGAAAACAACGCAACACCATGGATCGTCAACCTGAATATCAATCCCGTAGCGGCAAGTAGCTCCAGTACGCGGTCACCACATTTAAAGAATTCAAATAAATGGGAGCCATCAGGGTGTAGAATTCTTAGTTAATGGAGATCATTACCATCCTCGCTTGGAATAGTGACTCCGGCGACCTGTAAAGGGATGCTGGGACACTTCCAGCGGCATCGGGCGTCTTGCCACCAGGCCTGCGGTGACATTTGCAACGTTGATGTAACCAACTTTGCAACCGCAGTCCGTGAACAACAAAGAGCCCCTCTGAAGTGTGCGACTGTTGTCTGGGCACCTCAGAGCGACCGGGACGACAGAAGGGCAAAGATTATGGTTCGACAGCTTGCGCACCATGCAATTTCATGCCATGACAAGAAATGGCAACTTTAAATTTGAACTCCCGCAAAAGGCACGTAGTAAGATGCCTCCAAGGTACTTTTTGCAAACGGGCCCCCCTTCTTCGTCCTGGTAGTCGCCCACATCGCATCGCTTGCAGCTCTGTTGACCAGTTTGATCTTGGTACTCGCCCTTCAGACATGGCTCACATGCCAACGATGCCCCAGAATTTTGGCTTGTGCCTGCAGAATGAGCAAGCGATGGCAAGGGTTTGGTTTGAAAACCAAACAACATTGGAAACGCCGCCTTGGAATTCAAAGCAGATTTTGTCAGGCACAAAGCCTTTGTCCCAAAGAATTTGAAAACCACGGGCTTCCTAATGCTCCAGCCAATATAAGCCAATCGGTTCCCATCAGTTCTACCCGTTGGCCTGCAGGGCAGGCCTCACAAATGTAGGTTGGGCCATCGTTGTCAAAGAGCTGTTTGGAATACGTCCCGCTTGGGCAAGCCCGGCACCTGCAAGCACAAGGCACAAGGGCGCGAATAATTGGGGCCAGCAATGCCCCATGAAATAAATCTGGGGCGGTGTTGCCCAAACTGTATACGATTCTATGCGCGTAGATTGCTTCCATAATTTCTCAGCCTGTGGGAGCCGGCGATGCTACTTCGAACCCTTCCCGCTGGGACTTTCTGGCATGACTTGAAATCTTCCTTGGGCGTCTGAGTCTGAGCCCTTCTCCACAAGAGAAGCCGCTCTGGCGCCAGGATTAGTTGGACATTGGCTTTTATGTAGGTTCACTTGGACATGGGTTTCTGCATCACTTGAACATGGGACACTTTGGAGACATGAAGACCACTCACACCTTTAGGGTTTGACACTTAGGGAACACGGCGGGGACATGGGGACATGGAGGCATGAACCACATTTCATCAACAACTCTCACACCTTTAGGGTTAGACACTTAGGAGACGGGGGGGGGCGGGGACATGGGGACATTGGGGGCATGGGGTCTGAAAGCGCTTCAAAGACCGCTGGGCACTAGCGGGTCATTTCATTTGTGCTGAAACAACCTTCAGGAGGGATTCCTTTCTGCCCAAGCTTTTGAGGCGTGCGATCTTTTAACGGATGCGTTCTCAGGAACTAAGAAATCTATATCGATTTCCAAAGAGATCTAGAAAGTTGGCAACCGGTTGATTCGCCGCCCTTGTACGGGTTGCAAATTTGAAATTGAGACTTTCGAGGCTAAGAGACCACAAGCTGGTAGTTGTGCTACCTGTCCAAAATTTTTGCAACATGGACATCCATTTCGATTGGCACCCGTGTGACTCAAGTTTAAAATTGTGATTCGCCGGGAACGTTGTCAGCCCCCCCCCACCTCCCTGTTGATCATAAGCGAGCATGTGCAACATGTCAACAACGGCAACAAGTTCCGTGGACCCTGCCTTAAAATCCCCCAGAACGTTATCAATCCCCCCCACCCCCCCTGTTGAGCATAAGCGAGCATGTGCAACATGTCATCAATGGCAACATGTTCCGTCGACCCTGTCTTAAAGTCATCCAGAACGCTATCAGGCCCCCCCACCCCCCTGTTGAGCATAAGCGAGCATGCCAGAAAGTTCCATTTTGCCATGTACTGAAGATGACTATATCTTGATTGCCGTGTCTGGGATCATGGCAGTCCCCAAATGGGACCCAAGTATGATGACTATCTCATATCTCATTCTTGGATCATCGCTGTGGCCCATGTTCAAGCGAACCCCCGCCCCTCAAATCAGCTCCTAAATGCTTCCTATGACAACGGCAACAGTTTGGGCTTGACATTGCGAAACATGGTGGTAAACATCCCGGAGAAAGGAGCAAATAGGCAAACCACTTCCCAAATGAGACATGGCGTGTGAGGTCAAGCTAAGTTGATCCCAACAACCCAGTCTCCATCGAATCCAACCTCAGACCCTCTTTGTCATCTCGATTGGACACAAACTGCTCAGTGATCTCATTGTACATGCCGAACTTTGGAAAACACGTGCTGTCATCAGGCATCCAACTCGACCTTGCATCGACTTTCCAACACCATTCTTGAAAATCCATGAAAATCCACTATGAATCCCTCTTCATCCCTCTTCTGCAATTTCATTTTTAGAAAACACTTGAATCACTTGGATTCACTTGGCTGATTCTACTAGGTACATTGGAAATATGCGGCATGTCAATTGCTCGTAGCTACGATTTGCATGTCATGTCCACCCAAGGTGTTGCTGTAGTTCACGTCGTCTGGACCTGCGTCTTTTTCTCATCCAAAGTAACCTTCCCACCCCTCAACCTCCTGGCACCCTTACTTAGCTTAGCTTCGCACACTTAGTCCACCTTAGTCCAGTTTACCTTACTCAACTTGCTTGTAGTCGGTGTTGCTTAACCTAATTTTCCTCTTCCTCTTCTCTCCTCTCCTCTTCTCTGCTCCCCGTCCTCTTCCTCTGCTCTTCTTCTCCCCTTCTCTCTTCTTCACTTTTGTTATCTCCTCTTCCTCTGCTCTTCTTCTCCCCTTCTCTCCTCTTCACTTTTGTCATCTTCTCTTCCTCGTCTTCCTCCTACACAATCTTTTACACCTCGTACTCCTCATACATCATTTTGCTCCAGCCACCTTTCACGTCAACCAGCTCTTACACCATCTTACACCAACCGTTTTTGCACCATTTGGGTTTGCGCCTTGGGTTTTGACAACCATTTACCAACCAGCTGGGCCCACCCATGAGCCAGATGGCCAGCCGGCTTGCGGAAGGCAAACTAGGTAGGACTCGTCCTATTCTCTTTTCAGTCCCTGCTGTGGCCGCAAGAAACTGGTCACGTCAACGTCTAGAACCGCATCAAATGACAAGCAGCTGCAATCCATGACCAAGGAACTAGGCCAGGCTAGTCTATTGGTACGACGAGATACCAAACGTCAACATTGTTCTGCAGCCAGCGGCACATCATAGGCTCCCAGTCTTCACCTGGCAACCACCCAGGTCGAGCCAATCCTCTGAATCGAGATACAAATACATGAAGCATTCACTGGCTTTGAAGAGAAACCTGTGTTTGCAGAACCTCCCATCAAGCCATGGCAAATTTCTAGACAACGCTTGTTGAACACACTGCTGCTACCTGATGTTCTGCTCCAGCAACATCGCGTTGACCGTGGCCATGTCGATCTGGATGTTGTTCAGAAAGCCAACAAGCCGTGGGGCTAGAGTGCTCAGGTCGTTGCTCACAATCTTACCAATGAAAGAAGCAAGGGCTCCAGATGAAATGATTCCATCCTCCCACTCTTGCTTGTTGTGAGGTGGAAAGATCGTCTTCACAGCAGCCAGCTCGAGGAAGGTAGGATCTGGAACCCACCTTGAGCTCACATGCTGGAAACGTGTTCGACCATGTTGGAACATGTTAAAACACTTGCTGCGAATCACGGAATCGGAAACTTGCCTACCTTTACCTCTTGCTACGAATCTTATCCCCTTCTACCCGATTTTGCCCTCCATCGCAGAGGTAGTTCACTCATGTTCACTCCTGAATTTCACAGTCTGAACTCTGAACTTGGTGGACTATTCTCTTCTGGTGTGACAAAAGCTGCTCCGGCAATGTGCCACGAGTGGGTAGGAACTTAAGAAACCAGCAATTGGACCCTTGTTCCATGAGAAGGGGGACCCAGTATTGCGGACATGTAGGCATCATGGGAGCATGTTGTAGTTGACAACCACCAGTCGAATGTGCTTGGCCCTTCGTGCTTAGTGACTTAGTGCTTACCAAACTTTGATGTAACATGATGTCTATGTATTATTGTGGAAGGTAAAACTTTTTTGACACTGGAACCGAGAAGTGTCACAAGTTTTTCATTTTGCGATAGATGTTAAGATTAGCATGTCCCTGTACATTTCAGTGACAGCATGGCCTTTCCTGCACAAGGATGACACATGATGACACGCCACAACTCAACGTGGCTCAAGGCTCAAGTGGCTAGAAAAAAACCACGCTGCTGTCGGCGGCATGAACCCCAGCTCAGGTTATGAGCCCAAGGGCTTGAGCGCATGCCGTTGTCGACTTTGAGGCGACGGTCAAACTCGAGGACTGGGAATGATGGACATGGTGATGTGGCGCAACATGAGAATAGAGCCCGTGGTCCTGATCGTCCTGGTCGTGGTGGGGGAACCGGAAGTGGTGGATAAAATAGTAGAAGTGATGGTCTCGAGATTGGGGTGGCTGATCGTCGGTTGGATGCCTTGATCGAGGAGGACCGGAGGGCGATGTCTGTTCCGGTTCAACCTGGAGTGCGGCGCTAGATGATGGCCGAGCACAACAACCTTCAGGATCTTCGATGGCTGGCCGAGGACGCACAAACTCGACAGGAGGCTTTGAGTGCGGTGCCGGATTTGTTGAGAGATCTGAGGGAAGGAAACCTGGGAAAAAAATGTTAAAACAGGGATGCTAGGACATCCCAGCGTTCATTGTTGGTTGTTATGGTTTTTAGGTTCATGTTCAATGTTTCTTCCTTATCTTTGATGTTTTATGTGGTAGGGTTTCTGGGTCAGATTTCCTCCTAACTTTCACTTCACTGTTTAGTTTAAGATGAGGGGGATATATAATTGTGTAGGTGGTTGGGGTATATCCTGTGTTTTCTCGTCCATCCGCTCCCGTTTGCTTCGTCTTTATGCTCCTGAACTTTGATAAGTTCGGATGCCCAGATTTTGGACAGGTATCACTTTGAGAAGTTTGAGATTTCTTGTGAAGTTTGGTGATGGATGTTGCTGAATGTTTTGTGATGAACTGTCATACACGCATAGGTTTGAAGCAAGTTTTCTTTCCAGCGCATTTACAACTCAATTTGCAGAAGTGCGCTCATCGCCGTGCCTTGCTCTATCGCAATGAGCGGTGGTTATGATGACCAGACTGCCAATGATGAGTTCCTTGCCAACGCTCTTCAGGAGGAAGAGAATGAGGCAGTGATTGAGGGTGAGGAAAGCGAGGAAGAGACCACAACAGATGAGGAGGTGGTTATCACCTTGACAGATGGGATGATGACAAAGATTTCCAAAGGCTATGATGTGCCCGATGCCTTCAAGCAGTCGTTGCTGGATTGCACAGACCCGAATGAGATGCAGGGGATGATTGACAACATCACTGCACTGTTGAACAGTGAGACTGCCAAGATGCGCGTTGTGAGTGCTTCCAAGCGTCAGTCGGAGAAACTGATTGCCAAGAGCAATGAGCCCGTGAAGGTCAAGGGTGAGAGCGTCAAGAAGAAGGCTGGGAAGGCTACTTACACAGTGGTTGTGAATTACAACGGCAAGGACTGTGAGATTGAGTTGAAGGGTCGTGCCACCTTCAAGATGTTGCGTGAGAAACTTCGCCTTCTCTATCCTGATGTCTTTGGCAGTGATGCGAAGATGAAGCAGAAGATGACCTTCAAGGTTGTGGGCAAGGAGAAGTCAATGAATGCCAGTGGTCGCACGGAAATGTTGGCTTGGGGTGCTTCGCACAACCGTCCTTTGGTCATTCGTGCTGTTGATGGAGCACCCCCATCAGAGGCGGCTGGTGCATCTTCATCATCCACCGCCCCCAAGACCAAGGCGAAGCCGGAGAAGAAGTCCAAGAAGGATGACAAGTCTGACAAGACCGATGGCAATGAGTGAGTGTATTTGCACCTACACACCACTGAAAGCAAGATTGACTGTAAAACGATGCTTCAAGACCTTAATATATGTTGATTTCAAAAAAAAATCTCGCAGTTGTTTCCCAGAAGTTTGTCTCTTGCTTGGAGCAGTGGTTAGGGAGAAAGGGGGGAAATCACGCAGACTTTGCCTTGAGAAGTCAAAAGGACAGTCAGTTAGTCTTGGGTTTGCTCTTGGTCTTTCCCCTGTCGTTTTTGAGCATTTGGTTTGCCATCCATTTTCCAACAGACCATTTGAAACTCAAATTCGGATTTGTCATCCCTTGGTTTAGCACGATGCCGTCCGTCGCATTCGTCAAGAAGGACAACGGCAACTGCGACCCATTTTGGATTGAGACCAGCGATGTTTTGTCGTCCCACTCAATGCCTTGGACGCCCATTAAAGACCAGTTGAAGACACTGTCAAGGATTGACCTTTGCAATCTTCTTCCATCATCATTGCCATCTGTGAGGAAGGACACCAACAAAGACCAGATTTGCGACATCCTGATTGAGCATTGGGCAGAGGTGGTGAAAGAGGCAACAATGTCTTCGTCGCCTTTTGGAGACGGAGGTCGCAAAGGCAGTCATCGTCGTGGCTATGATGCTGACGATGGCAACGGTGGTGGAGACGACAACCCAGAACGCGATGAACCTGAACTGGGCGACCCTGCTGACTATGGTATGGGGGACTTCTACTTGACTGTCCAGAAGACCTACAACGGAAATTCCTTCAAGAACTACCATCGCTATGGTGAAAGCGATGTGCTCACAGGAATGGAAAATCAACCCTCGTCATCAACGCATCCTTCACAATGGTGCTGATGTTTTTGACACATCATCCCTGAACGAATTGGGCATTGACCACACCTCCATCTTGAAGTTGATGGTTCGTGGTCAAGGTGGTGCTGGGTTCATTCCTTTTCGCAAACCACACCTCAAACGTGAGGATGCCATCACCTATATGAAGGAGGAGCAGAAGAAGGCTTTGGAGACAAAGCCGGAGTTGGTTGTTCCTGATGCCGACCTTCCTGACAATTTTCGTCAATTTTTGCACGGTGAGAAGTCCAAAATGGACGACATTTTGACCTTGAAGACACGTCTTGGAGGTGAATTCATGAAGAGTCCTTTGCGTCAGGTGAGTTTGGAAACACTCGCCACAATCAAGAAACTGTTTGAAAGCAACCGCGGGAAGAAAGGTGAGAAGAACTTGACAATTCCAGAAAAGATTGAGAAAACCGTTCGTTTGATTTATCCACAAGTTGCTTTGATGGATAAATGTTGCAACAAGCTCTTTGAGTTCCAAAATGACCGGATGAAAGATTTGATGTCAATGTTTTGCGACGAATTCAACACATACAGCGAAGAGCACGGCAGTGCCAACATTGACATTCAGAAATTTGTTGCTTCCATTCAAAAAGAGATTGACAGGCGAGATGACAGACCTGTCAGCGATGATGCTGTTGGCAACACTTGCCGTTTTCAGTAAGCAAGACATCCGAAGCAGCGCGACGGTGGGATGAAAAAAGGGCAGTGAGCAGGTGTTCCCCAACCTCGGGGAACGCTGTTCCCCACATTGAGAGAACGCGATTTTTTGCGGGAATTTGGTGGATTTTTGCATTTTTCACCCCGACGCCCTTGTCCAGCAATGTTCATCTCTACCACGCCGAGGTTAAAAAGACAAGATGGAAGAGCCCTACAATGAGGGTCGTTTCCCTGTGGCAGGGTTCAGACACTAATGGCATAAATGCCAACTAATCTGAGGGAAAAATCTATCCAACTAATCGCATAAACCATCCGACTAATGTCATAAATACCGAAACGTTTGAAATGTTTTATGGGACGGTTTCACAATCCAAACAGTGGCATAAATGTCATTATTTTAATGTATTTTATGGGACGGTTTCACAATCCAAACAGTGGCATAAATACCAAACCCACTATCTAAACAATATTTATTACACCCTTGAATATATATATATATATGTATATATATATATGTATATATATATATGTATATATATATATGTATATATATATGTATGTATATATATATATAATGTTGACCTATGATTTGTCAATGCCCCCTGAATAAAGCTAAATTTTTCCCAAAATAAATATTAAATGCCCCCTAAATAAAGCTAAATTTTTTTGGCCCTAAACCCAGATTTGCCCAGATGGGGCTGAAAAAAAAAATCCATGCTCTATTTGAGGTGGCTTTCATGTACTAATTCATATTGCCAGCTCATTAGATCTTACCTTGATAACTTCAAATTTTCAAAAATAATGGTTGCTCTTTTCTATTCAAAACCTTTATTCAAAATTGTCCAAAATCAATCCCAAATCAACTCGTCAAGGGTACCCCCCATGAGGTGCCTTGGCACTAATTAGAGTTTGACCCTGAATAAAGCTAATTGTTTTTGGCCCTAAACCCAGATTTGCCCAAATGGGGCTGATTTTGTTTTTTCCATGCTTTATTTGAGGTGGCTTTCATGTACTAATTCATATTGCCAGCTCATTAGATCTTACCTTGATAACTTCAAATTTTCAAAAATAATGGTTGCTCTTTTCTATTCAAAACCTTTATTCAAAATTGTCCAAAATCAATCCCAAATCAACTCGTCAAGGGTAGCCCCCATGAGGTGCCTTGGCACTAATTAGAGTTTGACCCTGAATAAAGCTAATTGTTTTTGGCCCTAAACCCAGATTTGCCCAGATCCATGGCATGAATACTAAATCAATACTAAATCCATGACATGAATACGAGATCAATACTAAATCCATGACATGAATACTAAACCAATACTAAATCCATGACATGAATACGAGATCAATACTAAATCCATGACATGAATACTAAACCAATACTAAATCCATGACATGAGTACTAGATCAATACTAAAACAATTGCTGGATTCCTTTTTTTTTTGAAATTGCATTTTATGTATTCGTTTTCAATTGTGGTAATTTAAAACCTTTACATACAAACAAGTTTTATGGTGGCCTTAAGTCTATTTAGGGTCAGAGAGGGGGGGGGGGGCCCCCCTATTGTTAAATCATAGGTGGACATTATATGTTTTTTAGACCCTATAACCCATTATTTACCAACCGACCGCCTTTTTTCAGGATGTCAGGTTCTGTCAGACTTGTCGGCAACTGGATGGGCTTGGTTGTGGCAGGGTTTATATATAGATATATTTATACAGATGTTTTCATAGGCATCGCCTCTTGAGCCTTACCCCATTTTTATGGTAGGAACAGTATTTCAACAAGTGTCCTAAACTGCTCGTTTTTGACCCTTTTGACACCATTTTAGGACACTTGTCAGGACACCGCATTTTTTCAACATAAAACCTTAAAATACTTAAAGACAAGTCGCCTTATATAATTAAGATTTGATATGCCCTGCTATTTAGTAATTGATGGCAAGAAGCAAGAAATGGATGAGGACATCTTTGACCAGATGGTTGAAGCACTCCAGCAACCCACAATCCAAGAACCCCCAATGCCAACCTCCACAAGATGGCAACCCGACGGAACTTATGACAAGAAACCCAACGACCCAAAATACTTCTCAAGATAGTATCAAAAGAAATTATCAACCCCTTTCACCTGTCCCGACTGCGGACGGACAATTTCGTCCAAATCCAATCTATCCAAACATCGTCAACAACATTTGTATGAAGAAGAGATGCCAGTGTTGAAATACAAAACCTGTTCAACAACAATGATTTTTGTTGAACATGTTTTTATGTTGAACTCCAACCCCAATCCCAGAAATCCCAACAGCAAACCAAATACCCAAAAACTACTTAAAGAAATGACACCTTATATCGTATAGAGAATATGGGAGAAGGTGTAAGGTTAAGTGATTTGTTTAATGTTGAAAACCAACCCAACTCACAATCCAATCAACCGCAACATCCTCAACAAACAATTCACACTGAAAAACTACTTAAAGAAACAGAAGATTATAATAATATAGATTATACTATAATGGACACTTCACAGCAGATTGTTTTAGATTATCTTTTGTCATCCGAAAAGGGTGAGATATTGAAACGGAATGGAGAAGAACTCAAGAAACTCAAGATTGGAGACAAGACCTACAACTTTGAAAGGGGGAAACCCATTTCAAAGAGGTTGATAACAAAATTCAACAAGATTAGGCAAACTATGGACTACAAAAAGTATGAACTGAAAGAGAAGAGAGGCATTAGATGGGTCAATCTGGACAAGAACAAAACACTCACAGGTATTCAAATGAGATACAAAGCAACCACCACCAACGAACAATCTGCTTTTCGAAGGTTATGTCAATTCGTATGCCATCACTAACATCAGGGTTAGAGGCATAAAGGCACTACAGTATCTCAAATACCAAGATTTGAGGTTAAAAAAGTATTTGAGGAAACACAATGGAATGAAGGTTATGTTACAGGTCTTCGCCACTTTGAAGAGTAAAAAGACTAATGAAGATGTAAGACAAGTCATCAAGAGTAGAAGATACAACATCACCAACGAGGGTGAAATACCCAATGTTCTTAATCAGATGGCAAGTGATGTAGAGCACCAAGCGGAGGTGATGGAAGTGTCGGAGAGTGGATTAGTCATAACCCAGATCAATAAACTGAAGTTCAATTATGACAAATACAATCCAACTCGTGGGGGTAAGTTCATTCCACTACCTAAATGGGTTTCAAACAAAAAAAACAGTATCAACATCAAAAATCAAGATGAAAAGTGCTTCAAGTATTCCGTTCAATGTGGTATATGTAAGGTTTATGAAAAAGACCACCCCGAAAGGGTGTCTCACTACAAAAGTCTCAATGATGAACTGAACTGGGATCATCAGATGTTGATATAGATACATTTGAAGAAAACAACGGAGGGAAAGTAGCAGTGAATGTGTATTTTCTTGACCCCGAAGAAGGGAAACAGTCCATCCTACTATACAGACAGTCTAAAGTATCAAAAGCAACTCATCAAGTCAGTTTTCTAAAACTGGAGGATGGCGATGACTACCATTGTGTATTCATCAAAGATTATGATAAAATAATAGGAAGTCAAACCAACAAAATGAAAGCAAAGAAACATCACTGTTTTCACTGCCAACACGGTTTTTTAACAAAAGAACTTCTTGATGAACACGTTGAAAAGGGATGTATGGCAGTTGAAGGACAACAGATACAAATGCCTAATGAAGAGGACATTATGGTTTTCAAAAATCACTACAAAAAGTTGAAAGCACCATTCGTCATCTATGCTGACTTTGAATGTTTGACCACAAGGACGGGGACAGTTTCAACTAAAGAAGTTAAGACTGACAAATACCAACATCACAGACCCTGCGGTTTGATGATAAATGTTGTCAATTCAATTGATGGTTCATCAAAGCCTTTCCTTCACAGAGGGGAGGATTGTGTGGATGTTTTTTTCCAAAAGATTATTGAAGTCAAAAATGAGATTATGGAAAAAATGCAGGAAAACAAGGAAATCATTATGAGGGCAGATGACTGGAGGGACTTTAAAACCGCAAAGAAATCCTTTATATGCGGTAAAGACTTCAAAGAAGGTGATAAAAAGGTTAGAGACCATTGTCATTTTACAGGTAAGTATAGGGGTTGTGCCCACGATGACTGTAATTTACAGTTTTCAATGAGATATTATAAAATCCCCGTTTTCCTTCATAACCTCAAGAACTATGACAGTCATTTAATCATTGAGAGGGCAAATGAACTGTCAGAAAGGGGTAAGATAGATGTAATAGCACAGAATAGTGAAAAGTTCATTACCGTTGTGTTTAAAAACCTTTGTTTCAAAGACAGTTTTTCTTTGATGAGGATTTAGATTTACTGACTGATAAAGGTGTTTATCCTTATGATTACTTTATATACTTCATTTGACAAATTTAGGGAAAAACAATTACCCCCAAAAGAGACATTCTACAGTAATCTCACCGAAAGTAATATTGAAGATGATGAATACGAAAGAACACAAAAAAATTGGAACACTTCGGTATTAGAAACCTCGGTCAATACCATGACTTGTATTTGAGAACTGATGTTCTTTTACTCACTGATGTCTTTGAAAATTTTAGAGACCTTTGTTTGGAATACTACGGTTTAGACCCAGCACTTTATTTCACCCTTCCTAACTTTGCTTGGGACGCTATGCTTCTAAAAACTGGGGTTGCAAAGTTGAAATAGACCCTTTGACCGACCAAGAGATGTATGAAATGATTGAAAAGGGTTTGAGAGGTGGGATGTGTCAAGTCAGTCATAAGGAGGCAAAAACAATTAATAAGTATATGATGATGGACGACTATGATGAAAACAGACCATCTAATTATATCAATTATTTAGATGCTAAAAACCTTTATGGACTGGCAATGTCAATGATGGTCGCCTGGCAAACTATGACAGGAGGAGATGAAGGACCCAGTAATGGTCGCATTGAAAGCGAAGTTCAGCAGGTGAAAAGACGGCTTAGAATGTTGGTAAGAGAAAGTTGTCTGGGTGAGAGGTTTTGGCCGGGCATTGCTCGCTATGTGGGGCGAGAGCGCTTGCAAAGCCAGTTGCAAACGCAGGGCGTGCCGACGAAGCCATTGCTTCCCATCGGCTCGAAGGTCACTGTGAAGACGAAGCGGTGGCATCGAATTGGCCAAGGACCACTGGTACCACCATTCATTACTATGACGCTGATGGGACCTTCACCTTTGATGGTTGCAGGGTATGTGTGCATGGAAGGGTCACAACTTCAGAATTCGAAGCTGGTGATCAAGACAAACCCTGGAGCAGACCGTGCGATCATGGAACTGGTTGAAGTTTGCCCTGCAAAACCCTCGAAGAGGATGTGGTCAAAGCAGCCGCCAAGGTCCCACTTCCGCAGCAGAACCCCACCTGCTACCTCGACCAGCTAAATTCTTAAAGCTAAAGCTTGACCGTGGGTACCAAGCTCCTGGATCTGGGGGAGATGGTGGATCTGGGGGAGATGTTGGCTCTGGGGGAGCTTCTGTCGATGGTCCTGCTGATCGTGTTTTGGACGGATATGGAAACGTTGTCCCATTTTGGGGAGATGAGCCTGATGATGTGCCAGCCCTTCATGCAACGCGGGCTGGGGGGGAGCATGCAGGCCAAGCAAGTTTTTCAGAATTTTCAGAAAGTTTTCCAACGACTTCATCAACCTGGCCGAGCTCTAATAATCAGATCAGATGTTGTGTGCTACAATGCCAACAGGCTCTTGGGAAGAAGTTAAAGCGGTTCACGAAGTGGAATTGCAAGAACATTGGGCATTAAAGACACTGTGGATGAACGAGTTGATCATGAGGCATGTTGCAATCGGTGAAGATGAAGGTCGAGAACAAGGTCAATGGCTGGAGCTTCTCATGGAAGATGTCCTGAGGAGAGACAGGGATCTGGAGCGGCAGCACAAGGTCTTGGAGAGACACCGGATGGCTTCATTGGTGCAGAACTCAATGGAAGCGCATCAAGATCCTCCCAGCACACAGTTTTGCAAACTTATACGGTGCCTTTGCAGCAGGTTCGGAAAGAGCTGGAGCTTCGGAAGCAACCGTTGTTGGACGAGTACAAGTCCTTGACAGAGATCACTGGGGCTTTGAAGGTCACAACGGAGAAGGAGTTTCAAAAGGATCCTCGCTATGATCAGATGGAGGTGGCACCAGCTATTTTGGTACCTACTGTGAAAGCTCCTCATGGAAAACGTCGGGCCCGGATATGTGGCAATCGCATCGGGGCGAAGAACCCTGATGGTCAACTTGCGGCTATGGTCCACCGTGTGCCCGCCTCCGCGGGCCCGCGGGCCCGCGCTAGTCTTGGGCTATAGTCCACCGTGACCTTAAGCCCATGCAACACTAGAGACCGGCAACAGCAATGCCAAGTAATGAAAACTTTCGCGCATTTTGAGACATTCTGAGCAAATTTGAGGAATTTTGGTCAGCATTTTTGAGCAGTTTTTGTGGACCAGCTTGGGTCTTTTCGAGCAAATTTCGAACAATTTTGAGCATTTTTGTCGGGCAAGTTGGGGGCATGTCGAGCAATTCTGAGCAATTTTTGGAAGCACGATATGGCATTGTTGACCTTAGACAGTGTTCAAAATGTTTCAGTTGAGGCTGCTTTGAGACATCTTACTTTAGCTGAAATGAGGTTAGCGTTAGCGTTCTCTTACTTGAGACATCTTACTATGTCGGTCTTTGGCTCACATGAGGTTAGCGATTCCGAGCAGCCGCTGACAAAGAGATCGCTTTCGAAATCACTTGCCCTGGTGAAGAAAAAGGCATTGTGAGGTTAGCAAGATTGTGTTTGCCTTGCATTGTATATGAACTACAATCAAAATGTGATGAGACGAACTGACCTCTACTTTGCATGACAGCGCTCATTAATCGCTTTTCTGTGATTGTACAGAAACTTGGAGTTTTGGAGGGAGCAACAGGCAAGGGTTCAGTCCACACGGAGAGGTTAAGATGATTTAAGTTCACTCATTTTTTAATCGTTGGAACTTCATACCGCGTGACCATGCCCTTTGATTGAATAAAACACCATAGCGGACAGGGACTGTGCTGCCTGTATCGTGCTTCCATGTGCTTCTTTCACTTTGTTAGTGTTGTCCCTTCACCTGCATGTTCCGGGTTGTGAGATTCTATGTCAGCCACTCCTCTCCTCCTTCTTGTCCTCCTCGCCGCGCCTGACCTCAACCACAAAACCCGGATCAGAGTGGTGCCCGCCGGACCTGGATCACAAGCGCCTGGGTGAGATAGAATGCCACAATGAAAGTGAGAAGACACAATAGCCACGTATGCCAGAAAGAATTCCAAAAGAGATGCCGGATAGCATGGCAGCCTTGAATTGTCAGAAGTTATGCCAGATAGACACATATGCCAGATAGTATGCCAAAAGATATGCCAGATAGAACGCGCGGGTCCGACTATGTCAGTTTGTGCCAGAATATATTTGAAAATATTTGTTGGATTGCCAGAATAAATACCGGAAAAGATTTGCTAGACACAGATACCAGACAGAATGCAAGAAGATATAGACGATAAAATGCTGACCTGAAGACCGCGGGCCCGTGGGGCGAGCCCGCGAAGGGCCCGCGCAAGTCTTGGGCTATCAGGGGACCTATGTCCAACTTGCTACAGAAGGTCTTCATGGTGGGCCTGGGGATTCACTTTTTGCCAAAAATGCCGGAGGAGCAGATGGAGTTCGGATTCGAGCACTTTTGAAAAAAACTGGAGCCAAAAAGTGGCAGTGTGCAATGGTGGACGTCAAGACCGCCTTCTTACTTGCACCACGGCGAGAGGCGGACACGAAATTGCTGACGGTGCGTCCTCTCACTTCCAGCCCTTCGAATTCGAACACCTATAGAAATGACCTTTTGAAGATGTTGCAGTGGAATTGCGATGGACGTAAGCTGCAACTTTTGGCCACACCTGAGCCAAACCTGATGAAGGTGGTGACCGTTGGTGGTCCTGAAGATGAAGAAGCATTGGTTCCTGGCACCTGGCACTCTATGTGGACGACATGGCCGTCGTGGGGGGGCCGGAGGTTGTGGAATCCTTTCTGATCTGCATTCAGTTGGAATGGAAGTGTTCAGCGCCTGAGTTTGTGAAAGAAGGAGCTTGGGTTAAGTTTTGCGGGTTCGAGCTGTCCAAGCGAGGAGATCAATTCTTGTTGGGCAGAAGTCCTACACTCAAGATCTTCTTTCTCGGCATCCTGGAGTGATCTGCAAGAGTACACCTTCCCCTGGAGTTTTGGATGAAGAGCTTGAGAGCGAGGTCAGCATTCAAGATGTGCGAGCTGCTCAAGGCATTGTGGGTGAGCTGCTGTGGCTGTCTTGCCGCACACGTCCTGATTTGAGTTTTGGAGTTTCTTGGATGGGTCGAATGGTAACCCGTGCGCCTCGTCGAGTTTGCTGTTATGGGGAGCACATGCTAGGGTACCTCAAATCCACGTATGACATGGCACTTCACTACGGTCTTTGCGAAGGTGGGCATGGAGAAGATTCTGAGTTGGCTTTTTCCAGGTCGATGTTGCGGCTGGAAGTGCGCTCTGATGCCTCCTTTGGTCCAGCTGGCGGCCGAGGCCATCAAGGTCTTATAGCCATGTATGGGGGGTGTCCCATCCAGTGGGAATCAAAGCAGCAAGCTTTTCGGACTCTATCTACTTCGGAGTCAGAGCTCTTGGGGTACACAGACGCAATGACCCTGGGCGAAACAATGTCTTCAGTGTTGAACACTTTAGAAAGCAACAAACTTTCTGAAGAGGGCGACAAGGTCCTCTACGGGGACTATCAATCTGGTCTTCAGTTGCTGGAAAGCCCAGACGGACCATGGCGGACGAGGCACTTGCGTCTTCGAAGCTTTGTCCTCAGAGTAAGGATGAAGTGGGGCTTGTGGAAGGGCCGACATGTTCCTGGTGCTCAATTGGCTTCCGATCTTTTGAAGAAGGCTGTGACGTCAATGCCGTCATGGACGAAGTTCTACAACTTCATGAGCATGTACCGCTTGAATGAATTCGGTGCTGCAGAATCTAGTAGTTGTACAGAAGGTAGGGTTACAGCCAAGGTTGCTGGAGCAGCTCTTGCAGCGATCATAGGTTTGACTGTAGTGACAACTATGCCCAAAGAGGCTGAGTTGACCAAGGTAGCTTGTGCAGGTGGCGTAGCTGCATTAACAGCTTGGTTAGTGAAAAAACTTGGCCCGGGAGGCATCAAGAACGTTGTGAGGGAAGACCCTAATTAGGAGCCAGGCAAAAATCCATTGAACCTGCAGGAAGGGGCTCCAAAAAGCAGGACGTCGAAAGCAGAAGCCAGAGGGAAAACGAACCCTGGCCAAAACACCATGGCACAAGGGAACATGAACCTGCCTCAGATCCTGGAGTGAGGGTACATAAACCCACTTCAGTCAACTGTAGCCCAGCGGGCTCCCGTCCACGTCTTTGCGCGGTGAGGGCCGATCCAACTTCCAGCCCGATGCCATGGAATGCGGTGGAGTTTGATCAGCCTCCCCATGCAGCCAATGAAGATCTATGGGTCCAGATGGATGATGGCTGAATTCACCGAAGCCTTCGGACTCGGAAGTTTCATCCTGTCCGTCGGTCCTGCCCTGTGAGGACAAGTAGCTGGAACCTGGAAGAACGAGTGTGATGTGGTGGAACATCAACCACGGTTGGACTAAAAGCATCCAACAGGATGAATGGGGAGTCGGAAATGTCGACCCAGATCTACCTGTGCGAGGGAGATGGAGGGGCTGGACTTTTTTCCGGTTGAGTCGTCACAAGCAAGGACGTTATCCAGTGGAACCCATATGAGCAGCCATGGAGGCCTCCGGCACAAGTGGGAGTTTCTACAAGCAGCCATCTGAGAGGACAGATGACTGCGTCAAAGAGGGGACGTTTGGCCTTGGGAGCGGATCCGAGCTGAAGGGCATGTTGCGGTCCACTGACGTCAAGGGGGTCTGCAGCTTCGGTGACCTCAGATGGAGGCGTCTTCAAGCGCTGGGATCCCAAAGGCTGGCTACGCGGATGCAGCAGGAGTGGTGTCGAGGGCAGCTATGATGGCGGGGAGGCCTACATCGTCCTTTACCAGCTCATAGATGGAAGTGAACCATAAAGGAGGGTATGGCGTGGAATCAGCACCGTCCACGTTGGAAGGGCCCTTCAGGAACTCAGCTTATCCAAAGGGAACACAATTTTGATGAGGCCAAAACCACGGCCAAACAGATGGGCGGATGGACCCACGATTTCCATTAGAGAGGGTGAAGCATCTCGGACTGCGATGGTGAGGGTGTTGCAGGCCCCTCACCCACCAAATTTGAGATCATCATCTGAGCCTGTGGATGAGACACCGCTGGAGAGACGCACCAGATATCAAACGTCGATGCGGTCCGATGATGTCCGATGTCTCAAACCGACACCTTTGGGATTTTCTACATGGAGTTTGCCCTGATACTCCGGTTCCTGAGGTCCCTGGTGATGATGGTGAGGACAACGACGAGGCAGCGGTGGAGTCCGAGTCGGAGATCAGCGACGGCAGTTTCTCCCAGGTGACTAAGTATGCCGCCGGATGACCCTGAAGCCTATGTCTAACGACGTGCGAAGCTCTTTTTTGGGCCCTAAAACAGGCCATGGAATTTTCTCGGATTGCCGTGTTACGGCAAGGGGGAGTGTGGAAGGTAAAAGCCTTTTGACACTGGAACCGAGAAGTGTAACAAGTTTTTCATTTTGCGTTAGATGTGAAGATTAGCATGGCCCTGTACATTTCAGTGAGCGCATGGCCTTTCCTGCACAAGGATGACACATGATGACACGCCACAACTTAACCGTGGCTCAAGGCTCAAGTGGCTAGAAAAAGCCCACGCTGCTGTCGGCGGCATTAACCCCAGCTCGCTTATGTATATATATATATAACAAAACCATCCAGGTCATCCGTCGAGACACCAATAGAACATGCTCTTGTGCTTGGTGGGCAAACGGGTGAAATCACCCCATGTCAGCGCAACTCCGAAAGCTAAGGGGATATTCCACTTCGCTGTCTTCTGCAAGACTTCGCTCAAACCGTAGCCGCCTCCAGCAGTGATATACAGGATACACTTCGTAGGGTCGCTGCGGCATGAAGGAGAGAGCCAGAAGTAGCCATCACCGGGGCATTTTCCTACCACTTTTCCATCGGGTTGAACCACAACTCCATCAGTGTCGCCCGAGGCACTCAGGTACGCTGACATCATCAGATCGTTTTGCAAGTTGGTGTCGCTACAAGGCTTCAATTCAGACCTGTTCACGGCACTCGGCTGGTCGAAGTACTTCCTTACGTCATGTTGGACATCAGGTGCTTGAGGCAGGACACATCAATTACATTTAATTATTTGCCGAGTGTGGCCGAAAGGTGATTCAAAAACAACTTGTTTCGAAAAATATCGAAAGATGTTCGCATATCTTCACATGTTTGAACCCGAAAAGCGTGGTCTGCCAAGTTGCCACGGTTCCTTCCATGTAGAATCGAAGCCTCGGGACGTGTGGGCAAGGGAGGGCCGTGACTAGTCAAATTAGTCTGCGATTCAGAACAAAACCTACAAAGCGCACGAGGCCGCCAAATACATAATAGAACCACCAGCTTGTGGATGTTTGCTCGCATGTCCCTGACCCTGCAAAACTAGTAAATTTAGTAGTCGCAAAATTTAAGTAATTTTTGCTATTTAGTTTGTCAAATTTACTGGTTATAATTAGTTATAAAGTAAATTTACTATGCCTAGTAAATGGATTTAGTAGGCATAGTAAATTTATTTAGCATATATAGTATTTGTTTGGTCCAAAAAAAACTAATTTTTTAAAGATTTTTCTGATTGATATATTATATATGTTTAAAGATTTTTTGTTTTTTTTGTCTGAAGAACTTCAGAGAGGTTTTGTGGTGTGCAATGACCTATCATATAATTACAGGTAGTTATAGCATACTTGAGGAAATCGAGAATGAATTGTCTTTTCCCAATGCGATATACTTGAACTGCCAAAGTACCTGTGACTTACAGGCAGGGAGTCGACATACTTGAGATACTTGAGATACCAAAGAATTCAAACTTACATGTGTCTACCTGTGCTTACTTGAGGGATAGGAGAGCTACATGAAGTTGGAGTGCCTGTGCCTACCTGTGCTTACTTGAGAAGTAGGTGAGCTACATGTCCAGATTTGGACTACTTGTGTCTACCTGTGCTTACTTGAGAGGTAGGACAGCTACATGTGCACAGTTGGACTACTTGTGTCTTACCTGTGCATACTTGAGGTACTTGTGTCTACATTTGCACACTTGTTGTATAGAAAGTTTACCTGTGCATACTTGCTGCACTTGTGGAATGATCAGTCTGAGCAACATCAATGCTCCTGTTCTCAGAAATGATTTGACTACTTGGGCATGTACTCATTAAAAAAAAAAAAACTTGTAGAAATGTCCAAAATTATGATGCACTTTTGATGCACTTTTGAAACTACATCATTTGGATGCACTTTTGATTTAGTTTCATAGGGTTTTGATGCACTTTTGATGTAGTTTCAAAAGTGCATCAAAAGTGCATCATGTTTTTGAGCATTTCAGCAAAATTTTGAAGAAAAATCAGCAAAACTCTGAAAAACATGATTCAAAAGTGCATCAAAAGTGCATCAAAAGTACATCATTGTTTTCCTTTAAAATTAAAAAACAAATCTTAGACAATGACCAACACCGCTTGATTGATTTTTTTTTGCAATTCAATGTGGAGATAGATAGACAAGATCCTCAATGACTTTCACCCTCGATATGGTTTTCTAGCTGTGCCACTGCCAGAGGCTGAGCAACTTTACACAAGAGGCATGCAAATGGCCCAAATTCACTGCCAATTAATGGCTTTCTATAAAGGCCAAGGCATCAAGCTTTTCAACTTGACGAGCAAAACTCATTTTGTCCTCCACAGCCTTTATTATGCCAGATGGCTCCATCCATCCTTGGTCTGGTATTACAAAGGAGAAGACCAGATGCAGCGGATGGAAAAGTTATGGAAGAGTTGCTTGGACGGCAGCAAACATTGGCAGACAGCCAAGAGGGCTGCTTGGAAAGAACGCCATCTGCTGTTTTTGCGTAGCAAAGTTGGGTGAGAGAAAAGGGTGTCTCCTTCAAGTATACATACTTCTGTTCTGCTGCAGCTTCCACTCTGTTCCTACTTGTGTTCTATCCCTACTTGTGTAATGTCACTGGCTATAGCTTGACTTCACTCACTACATGTGTGATCTTTCTGCACATGTCGCTCTTGTGTTCTACTACATATGCCATATATGAAAGTCTTACTTGTGATCAAAAGCAGAGCCATAAATTCTAGCTTGGGATTCTACTTGTGTAAACTCATGAACTATAACTTGACTTCACTCACTACTTGTGTAATTTTTCTGCACATGTCGTTCTTGTGTTCTGCTACATGACCCATATATGAAAGTTTTACTTGTGATCAGACACAGGGCCATAAATTCAAGCTTGAGATTTTACTTGCGTCACAGAACAAATTACTTCCCAAGTTTCAGAAAGAAAGAAAACATTAAGAAAAAATGAAAATATTTTTAGAAATCAAAAAAAAAGGAGAAAAAAAACACAAACATTGTATAACGCACCTTTGATGCAATTTTGATGCTGTTTTGATGCGTTTTTTTTTTCCCAAAAATTATTTTTTTTTAAGATTTACTAGACAAAGTAAAGTAATTTGAGCTACTAAAGTAAATTCCTGGAAAAACTAAATTTACTAGATTTGCAGGGTCAGGGTATAAAGCCAGCATGGACGTGAATGCAAACATCAACTATGATGGAAGATCACAAACATCTTCAAGAAAAAAACAAATTGACTTGGAAAATTGATATAAATTCATCACAGCCCGGTAGCCAGTCCAAAAGTCCAAAGCCAGACCTTCGGCCTCGTAGGCTGCCTCCAGTTCTCTGGAACTGAAGTACATATCCTCATACCCATCATATCCTGAAGCCAGCTGCGATGCAGAGCTCAAAGTTCTAGCGAGTGATGTAACAAGAAATGCGCATGATGAGAAAAAACATGGAAAATAAACGCTTTCTTGGTGGGGCGCTTGACGCGGCACGAAATCGAACAGTTGCTTATTCAAACGGGGCCGTGCAAAAAGAAACAGGTAAACCAAGCAGGCAACATATGATTGTGACCACTAATTCCACTACTCAGCGACGAGTTTCCCATACTGCCCAAAATTTTTGGCGCAGTA